AAGTCATCAGCTAAAGTGTAATATAAACTACCAAAAGACGTCACACTTTTGCCTAATATAATTTACATTAAGAATACTACTCGTTAAATAAAAATAACTGCGAATTTGATTATCTTTGTTGACCAAGCTATCCCATGAATTGTGTTCAGATGTCTCGTACAATTCATGTGATTTCGTGCAACTAGTAGCTATAAGTATCGATTATAGTCTGTCTCAGCTGGATGGCGTACAAATTTGTTCTCTCTCCTCGCATGTCCGCGCAGGCGCTGGCATAACCACTTGAAAAATCAAGTAGTAGGATTATAGCCCGTACTATCAGTACCTGGCGCGTTGTCTATGAATCGACTATGAAGCGCGTTTCTAGCGAGATCATTGTGAACAATTACAAACAAGACAATGATTATAGTTTACAGTTAAATCGTTGGTTTTTGAAATCGATAGGCGCTTGGCCAGAAATACAAACAAATTCAATGATTAAGACTGTATTAATAAATATCTTGCGAATAATATGTCATTCATTAATAGCTTTTACCGTGATATCTGCTGTATTATATATATTATTTGAAGAAAAGGATTTCCGTTTGAGACTCAAGGCTATTGGACCTACGAGTCATATTCTGATGGGTGGAATTAATTACTGCTCGCTCTTGCACCATAATAATCGGATACGTACGTCTATAGAGCACATGGAGACCGATTGGCGGATGGTGAAGAAAAAATATGATCGGGAATTAATGCTACGAAACGCGAGAGTGGGACGCGTTATAGCGGGCATTTGCGCGCTTATCCTGCAAGGTGGCGTTATTTGTTACAACATAGCGAGAGGAATGTCACGGATATCCGTGAAAATCGGCAACAAGACAATTGAAACAGGTCGTCTACCTTGTCCATCCTTCAACAAAATCGTAGACACCAGACTTAGTCCAGTATATGAGATCGTGCTCGCGTTGCAGTGTCTTTCGACCATCGTGGTAAATAACATCACGATCGGTGCCTGCGGTCTCGCCGCGGTTTTCGCGATGCATGCATCCGGTCAACTCAATGTCGTGATGTTACATCTCGAAGAACTCGTCACCGAGCGACAAGATCTCTTTCAGCTGAGACTGGCAAACATTGTGGAGCATCACCTGCGAGCCTTGAGGTAAAAACTAATTTTAAAAGATTATGTACAAATAAATTTTAATTCTCTACGAGAAATGATACGGTTGTATATTTTATAAACTTTGACTGATTCTTGAATAATTTTTAAAACTAATTTCTCGTAAAACGTAATTTTTATCTGAAAAAAGTGCCAAAAAAAAGTAATATGTGGAAAAATTATCTAATATTTTTTTTCTAAATATATCATATTTGCAGAATTGTAACTATCGCGGCTGTAAGATATTCGGATAAAAAAATTGTGTGTCTTTAACGTCGCGGCTGTTGCTGGATGTGTCGATTGCAGGTTTCTTTCACATTTGGAGGCAATTATGAGTGAGATATGTTTTGTGGAATTAATCGGGTGTACATTCAACTTGTGCATGTTAGGATATTACACCATTACGGTATGCTTAAAATTTAAGAAAGGTGAATATGTGACAGATTGTATATATCGTTACTACATCTATATTATAAATGCTGCTTACTTTGTATAACTTGTATATTCTTCCAGGAATGGCATGAAGAGAGTATAAACACTATAATAACATATATCATGGTATTAACAGCAATGATGTTTAATATCTTCATATTTTGCTTCATTGGCGAACTCGTGTCGGATCAGGTACATAAAGTAATTGTGTTCCATTTCAAAAGCTTTTCTTATATGTTTATCTGCAATTCAAATATTATTCACACTTGGATTCATAGTGTAAAAAAGTTGGTGAAGTAGCTTATATGACGGATTGGTATAAATTACCACATAAAATCATTCTTGGTCTTATTTTAATAATCTTGCGATCAAGAATTGTTACCAAAATCACGGCTGGAAAAATATTTCATATGTCTATCCAGACTTTCGGTGTTGTAAGTATTATGAAAATTATAAATATAACTTTTAATAAAATTAAAATTTAGTATATTTAATATATTTTTTATTGCTAAAAATATTATTGCAAAAAGTAATATAAAATTGCATAACTTTATTTTAAATATAATGTTTAAAATGAAGTTATGCCATTTTATATTACTAATATGCATATGTATAAAACTTATTAAAATGCAAAATTAATTACTAAACATTTTAGGTAATTAAAACGTCGGTCGCATATTTAAATATGCTTCGAACTTTGACTATGTAAATGCTATGAATGTAAATAGTAAAATATGAATATTTGTAATATTCTCTATTTAGATATATTAAAAAATATATAAAATTTTTCATATAGAAATTATGTGTATTTCATACGTAAACCTAATACAAATCTAATCCACACATATAAACATACAAGCACATATATGATAACGGATGCATTACGATAGAAATTAGAAAAAATTAATATGAGTATAAATGCCTCTATGCTTAGATTTTGTATTATATAGTAGAGGTGATAATGAGTATACGCATAGAATTAATGTCTCGATGTATAATAATAATTCAGTTAGCATCACTGTATGGGCTTTATCAGTAAGTTAAGTTATAGAAAATTCATTCTATTATTTGATCATAGTTGAGAAGTAGAAGTAAAAATTAATATTTTATCGATTATTATTATAATTTTTTGTTTCTAGGTTTTAAATGTATTTTAAATGTTTCATTGCGAATCAAGAACTTTTCTCACACATTTTAATATCAATTAAAGGATAATCCTTTTCTTGTCAATAAAATAGTAAATAATATTCTTTATTATATATTTTAGTTTTTTCTTTATATAATACGACTATCTATCAAGCAACGTCAATCAAGTTGTAGTAATTACATTATCTAAAAATACGTAATGCTTTAGAGGTAGAGAATGAATATGTATTCTTGCCTCCATATATATATTATCCCAAAAATGTTCAGTCTCTGATGGATATTGTCAATGCACAATGATATTGTCTTTACTTTAAAAGTATCTCTGTACTACTAAAGTAAATTAAATTTTATATATTTTATATAATTTTTATTAAAATCTTTATATTAAAAGTATTAATGGCTAATAAACAATTCTTTTTACAATTAATCCTGTTGCTCGTAATCGAGCGTAATGACTTCTTTCATATGCATACCTGTGGTGCGCACGCTATATTGAACTATATGATTATACACATATGGGACTTATATTTTTTAACGTCGATTCCGAACGTCAAAATTTTGTTAGAGAAGCATTTTTGATAAAGATACTCTCGGTTGTCACTTCTTTTCGAGAGGAGATACAAATGTATGAAAATATTGTTGGGTTTATCAGAAATCGAATCTCGAGATCTCTAACATAGCAGATAAGTGCGCTGTCTGCTCGTGCTGCCACACTCGCTCTCTTCGTAATAAACATTATAAAATTTCAAATTTATCTGTACTATGAAAATTAAGTTTTTTTTAAAGTTTTTTGTAAAGTGATATGATTGACATAACTAGGAAATACAATCTTGTAGTACAAAAAATCGACGAAGTATCCTACATGACCGATTGGTATCGTCTGCTAGAAAAATATCGAACTATCCATTAGTACTTTTGATAGCGTAAATAAAATATCATTTATTAAATTGATTCATGAAACATATGACTTATGTGTCATTTTTCTAAATAGGTGATTAATATATCAGTTGCTTATTTGAACATATTACGTGCATTAACTATATAGACAACTCAAAATGTACAAGGAAAAAAAAGATATAGCTTACATAATTAAAAATATTTAGTTATGAGCAATATAGAAACATCATCCTAGTTTCTCTTTATATAATAAAATCTTTATATAATAGAAATGTATATAATTGATATGATTTGTTTAATTTGATGTGTCAATTACATCAATATTTAGCAGGCGCGATCTGAAAACCAAAACTTAATTAGGAGATTATTTACTATAGATAAGTTATATATCTATAATTGCGTCAACCGTGACATTATAAAGTATGATATTAAAATAATAAAAATTAAATTATTAATAAGAATTAATTTCTTATTTAATCATGCTATAAATTAGGTTGCAATTTCGAAAAACAAAAGTACCACCAAAGTGATTCACCACACTTACAAAAATATGTATACGTGAAATGCCGTTATTGCTGCAATATAAATTAACTTAACTATTGTACTGTAGTTCAAGCAACCACATAAATAGTTGTTCCATATTTTACTATTTAATTTGGTTAGCATCACTAGATTCTGTGCAGACCAACCATATTGTTTTTCCTGTGTACAAATTATAACTACATTTCTGTAGATACAATAAAAAATATGAAACTAGTAATTTTATAAAATTAATTAAGCATTCAGTATGGCATTAAAGAAAGAATAAGAATAAGAAATACATAGAGATTTAATAAATAAAAAGATGTGCGTGAACTTTGACATTTATTCTAAAATGTGATACTTCTTTCGTGTCTTATTTTACTAATTTTTTTTCTATTTAAATTCTAATAAATTTCAATTCTAATAAATTTCAAAGTATAGTCATTATATTTCAAAATATTAATTCATTTAACGTATACATATTCATCTAATTATCTAATTTTATGAAAATGTATATGTATGATTTCGTACATATGCAATATTTATATTCCAAAGAAAAATTTATAAAGGAAGAATGAGAATCGCGATCCTTACCGCAATTCTTCTCGCAAAACATACTCGTGAAAGAAGTTATATGCCTTACGTATCTAATTCACAATACAGTAACTAATATATCACACAAGGAAGAGGAAGAAAAAATCCTCTCTTACCCTTCGTGGTTATCAGAATGACTATAAAATGCACCCCTCAACTTCATGACGTGGATCGCTCTTTCCTTGGAAGTTGAATGCGCAAGCGCCTGATATGACTACGTATTCTCGACTTTCGGTCCTTTCAGTACTACCTGAGCTTCCGTGCTTTAATGATGCGGAAATCATCCTGCACTCAGAATTCAAATCCAGTAGCGACCGTTTATGATCATGAGAAATACGCGAGGCTAAGTATTCAGCAGATCCGTTGGATAATGAAGTCAATTGGTATTTGGCCCAATTCACTCAAATCCTCTTCTTCGATAAAGAAATATGTGCGCGTGCTAATGAACATAATTTATCTCGGTATAATGGCTTTTCTCTTCATTCCGGGCGTCTTCTACGTCGTGCTCGAAGTCGAAGACATATACAATACTTTGAAGTTCATTGGGCCGTTATCCTTTTGCCTGATGACTATCATGAAGTACAGCTCGCTGGCCTTTTGTAGAAGAGATATCCGTGTATGTATCGAGCATATCAAAATCGATTGGAGGAATACGTGGTATCACGACGATCGCGCGATTATGACTAAAAACGCGGAATTCGGCCGTCGTCTCATAGTGATCAACGGGTTCTTCGCGTACAGCGGTGCCATATTCTTTCACATCGCCATGCCGATTAGCATGGGCAAGATTACAGAGAGTAATCTGACGTACCAACCATTGCCGTATCCGGTCTCAAGGATTATTGTCGATACGCGTCATAGTCCAATAAATGAGATTTTCTTTTGGACTCAGTTCGTGTCGGCTGTCGTTTCGCAAACCGCTGTGACCGCTACCTGTGGTTTGATTGCCGTTTTGGCAGTACACGCTTACAGTCGTCTGGAGGTTCTCATGCAATGGATTGTGCATTTAGTGGACGGGAGAGAGGACTTTTCTAATAACGTAGACGAGAGGCTGGCCATAATTGTGCGAGAACATGTGCGAATTTTATGGTAAGTCCGCTATTCAGAAAATAACAATTATCTCTTTTAAATGTGTTGCATATTCAATATCCTCATTATTTTAATTTCTCGTACATTTAAAAAATAAGTTGTAAACTGTTAATCATCTCTGGTCTACAATTTATCTACAATAATACTTGTGCAATAATGCTTTTCTTTTCACTATAATGCTAATCATTACGTTGTAATAACATTTTTTTTAAAACAAGAAAAATTTATTGTTTTGAAACACTCAAAAATGATTATATAAATTATATACTGTTTTCTTATTTGTAATATTATGATTAATTAATTGTTATACATATTTCCATTCACGTACGTGTATTATTTTGCAGTTTTATAGAGTTAACAGAAAAAATATTGCACAAGATATCTCTTGTGGAAGTTGTAGGAAATACGCTCAACATATGTTTCCTTGGATATTATACAATTACGGTAGGTACATTGTGTAAAATATGTGGCAAAACCAATTATTCTGCAATAATATTGGAATACGGATGATGTATGCAAAATATGTTTTCGAAAATAGAAAATTTTAATTGCAGGAATGGGAAAACGGCTTTGCAATAACATACATTATTCTGCTTATGAGTTTTGTCTTCAATCTTTTCGTATTTTGTTATATAGGTGAACTTGTTGCCGAGCAGGTATGATTTGGATTACCGCCAAAATTAAAATAAAAAGTTTTATTATTGCAAATGCAAAAATAATTTGAGTGTAATTCATTTAATCAATTAATGAATCAATCCTGTATATAGTGCAAGAGAGTTAGTGAGGTTTCATACATGATCGATTGGTATCGTCTATCAGAAAGGAAAGCTCTAGCTATTATACTAATGATTGCGATGTCCAATTCATCGGTTAAACTTACTGCTGGGAATATCATTGAGTTATCTATGATCAGTTTCGGTGATGTAAGTATTTACAAATTAATTATAAGTTTTATAGAATAAATTTTTAATTGCATGACTCATAAACGTTTATTAAACAGGTGATTAAGACATCGATTGCCTATTTAAATATGTTACGTACACTTACTACTTAAAAATTTTTCATAAATTACAGTACTGATAATTGATGTAAATTGTATTTGTTGCAAAATAAATAATAATATCAAACCAGTTAATTTTATAAAATACCAATATATCAATTAATCAATCTTTACATGAAAATAAAAGAAGAAATGAAGCTTCGAATACAGATTTAATAAGTAAGAAGCATTAAATTAATACTAATTCAAGAATCTAATACGTCTTTTATACTTAGGTTTTTAAAATAACTTCTAGTTCACTTTGTGCGATGAATGTAAATATTTCTCTACTACAATTTCATAATTATTTAGAAAAAAACGGTTCATTAAAATAACAAATTTTAAAATGTTGATAAATTATTTCCCACATACAAACAAATATAAAAATGTATTTTATATATTTATAATAAATGTTTTTTATATATTTATAATAAATTTATATATTTATACATAAATGTTAACTAAATTCATTTAATAAAATTCATTTAATAAAATTGCTTTTATTTTCTTTTTTTTTCTGTAAACATTTAATCTTAATATTGATTTTTTATTATTTTAATTGGGAGCGAATAGTTATTCGTATTTTACTTATATTTTGTCTCAAGAGTACTCAAGAGTATATCAGATAAAACAGAATTTTAAATAGAGATATTTAAAGCAAAAATTCAAGTAAGCATATGATGTGCTAGTATGCAGAACGAAAGACATCTTTTAATCTTCTAACGTAAAAAATTATATTTCGTGGATAAAAAATTTATCATGTTTTCACATGACTTATAACTGACAGCAATCATCTTCTTATTCGATCATCTTCTCTTTATCTTTATTATCTCTATATCCTCTATTTTTATTACACATTATATTGAACTTTATATGCAACAAGTTATACTATAAATATCGATTGTGTATAGTCAGCCGACACAGCTACGTTTTTTTCTGTCAAGAATAAGTCATATGTTCGCATATGTACCGCCGTATTTAAATTGCTATAGGCAGTAGTAAAGATCCTGTAATCAGAATTTGGCGAAAGCGGACACCATTTCTAATTGATTCTGTGATTTTGGTTCACTCGGTATTCTTCGGATAGCTCCGTACATTCTCGGAAAACGAGTGCGAAGGAAAGAAAGAGATAGATAACTATACAAGCAGATGAGTAAGGCTATAAATGCTTTGAAGCATTTGATGGATCAATGAGAAAAAAGAATTTTACAAATTGATTTATCGAAAAATGCTTTAAAGCATTTGTAATATCATATTGACCATCCTAAAACCTGTGTCAAAGAGATTAGAAATCGTTCCGAGACCTTGGACAAAGAGAAAATTAATAAATTATAATTCAGCCAATTGATCAACTCAATTGGTTTCTTCAAGTATTGTCACGTATTGCCTATCACGCATTCTAATATTTTTTGCGTATGCGTTCATACGAGAAAGTAACATCTATTATCTCTTTCTATTCGCCATTTTTGGTCTATTCATCAAACTTTGATTGTAGGATCTCTAGTACAGACTAATGATTGACACGCTCACCACAGATAAAGTACAGTGCGTTCTTTCGTACCAGTCTAAAAATATTTATATTTAAAATAATAATTTACAGCCTTCACCTAAATTGATGGATTTTAAAATCGGTAAATGTTTAGAGCTTGAGAGAGCTTTAGAGCTTGCTCAAGAAGATTTTATCGAAAATTCTGAAATTTATGAATTACTCCTCGATAACTCTCACTGTAATACTCTCTTTACGGTATATTCTTCTCGAAGAGAAGGATATTCGTTTAAACTGTAGGCCATGGAATCTACAATTTACTGGCTTAAAGATGGTATAAATTATTGCTCATATTTATGTTAAAAGGATACGTAAATTTATCGAACAAATGAAGATTGATTAGCGAATGGAAGAGATCGCAAGGAGAGAGATTTTTTTTTATCATCATTAAGACAAGGAGTGCATTCGTTTCATGCATGATGCATCATTTACTCTTGTTGTTCACCGAATGTTAAACAAGGATAAATGATGCATCATGCATGTGGTAACCATATTTTCTTTAAAAAAATGAAGGACAAATCTGAAAATTTTAGAGTTTTCTTCCTACATGTTTTCAAATCGGTTTAACTATCAAGAATCTGTGCATATAGAATTTTATTGCACAGTGCTACTAATCAAATTGAGATAATGCGCAATTTTCTGATAATTTGAAACTGATTCGACTGTATTGGAACAAATCCTTGATCTGAAATAATAAAAAGTTCGAAAGAATAAAAAATGAAAGCAACTCTAGTTTGAATTTAATGTAAAAAATTAAGAAATATAATTAACAAAAACAAAGTGTATTTATATGTATAAAACTGTAAAATATTTTCCATAAAAATTTGTTCATTAATATAATATTATATACAAACATTGGAACGCTAGTTAGAAAAGAATTTCCCGTAATGTCAAAATAAAGGATAATATTGGAAAATAAAGGACAAAATTGAATTTTGAAGATACAAATAAATTTAAATGATAGCTATCTGAAATAAAAGACTTTTCAATAAAGGTATGGTCACCGTAATCATGCGTGAAACCATGGAATATTAAGATGTGCCTTCCAACAAGCGACATAGTGCGATACAGTGATCATGTGACCTTTGTTTAACAACATCATCATTACATCCTTGTTGTTTGGCAAACAACAAGGATGTAATGATCCATGATTGTATCACAGCGTGTCATTTGTGTCTCTTGTTGGAAGGCATACAAGAATAAGACTAAACTCAAATCCGATCACGAAAAAAATGAGTTCGAAACACGCTGTTGAAAACGCTATGGCAGAAATTTGAGCGCTCCTGTCGGAGAAAACTTAAAGGATTTGATAAATATTTTTCTTCCTATTTTTCTGTAATTCTGTACATTTGTATATTTTCATGCGTAGAATATATTTCTGAGAAGGAAAGTTGTCAAGATTCGTTTTTATTCTTTTTAATTTCAAAGTTTTTTGATCGATAAGTTAAAAAAACGATAATTTATGGCTATGCATATGTATGTGTATATGACCTATGACAGTCAATACTTCCAACTTTTCCCACAAGGCCATTATGGCACTAAAACCACATCGGCCTGATATTCCATGAGTTTTTCGACACCGTGTTTCGAGCCCATTTTCATAACTAAAATTTAGTCTTCTATCTCTTCGTGCGTGAAATGGAATACGTCTATGATGAGACACACTAGAAGAAAATGCATTGTAGCAAGCATTTAAGGGAATTCTAAAGCGAAGCTCGAATTCTAACGAAGTCACCAGAAGTCGCTATTTTTCCAGCGCATCGACATATCTTTATGTATTATCACACCAATTTCTCACGAAACCTATGATACTCTCAGTCGCACATTCGTGTCAATTTTCATATAACAAATTCGCGATATAGTTTAAATCTAATTCTAAGAATTCGACGTTGTTTGTCCGTGCAAACTATGTATTTGTGGATTACTCATTCGTAGGTACAGTTGCAAAACTTTCGTATAAAGTAAATGTTGAGACATTGATGTGATATTATATAAAGGTTGCGTTGCGTTTCACGCATGATGCGCATGCTGCATTATTTATCCTTGTCATTCTCGAATGTTAAATAAGAGTAAATGATGCATCATGCGCATCATGTGTGAAATAGAACGCAGCTAAAGACATGTCAATGCGCGGCGCGATCTCTGATGATTTCGGAGCTTCTCTTAAGCATTCATCATGCAAGGTGATATTTTTTTGTTACATTGTAACGAGGAGAAAATCACGTAATCAACAATGAAATAGTCGCAATAAGTCATTTATTATGTCCATTTTTAAATATGATTGTGGATTTGGATATCAAATTTAACCTCAGTATCCTGTTTACGCTTCAGTCTCTGTGTATGCTACAGTCTTTCATCCCTCATCATGAACAACACTATAGTGCATACGGGTTGATCGCATTATTCGCGATACACATTCAATTGCAACACGATCTGACTTCTCAGCTCATGAATCAATGGTAATAAACAACCAAATTCAAATTGGCGGAGAAGGAATTATTAATTATATTATGCCACTCGGGGGCATGACATTGACAACAATGTCAAAGGCAAGATCATTGGAGGATAATTCTCTATATTAAATAATTATCATGTTTTTTTTTCTGTAATTTCTGTAAATGTAACATATTAGTACGACATTAAAGAAAGTATAAGAATAAGAATAAGAAATAAATACAGATTTAATAAATAAAAAGATGTGTGCATAAATTTTGACATTTATTCTACAATATGATACTTCTTTCGTGTGTTATTTTTCTATTTTTTTATCGTTTACTATTTACAATTAAATTTTTTATTTTAATGAATTTCAAAATATGATCATTATATTTCAAAATATTAATAAATTTAATATATATACATATTCATCTAATTATCTAAATTTATGAATATGTATATGTATGAATTTATACATATGCAATATTTTTATTCCAATGAAGAATTCATAAAAGAAGAATCGCGATGCTTACCGATTCTTCTCGCAAAACATACTCATGGAACAGGTTATGTTACGCACATAATTCACAGAACATAATAACCAATATATACAAGGAAGAAGAAGAAAAAATTCTCGTAGTTGTCAGTATGACTATAAAATGCACCCTTTAACTTCATGACGTGATTGATCGCTTTTTCCTAGGAAGTTGAGCGCGCAAGCGCTTAACGTGACTACGTGTCCTCGACTTTCAGTTTCCTTTCAGTACTACCTGAGCTTCCGTGCTTTAATGATGCGGAAATCACCCTCTACTAAAAAATCAAATTCAACGACCGTTTACGATCGCGAAAAAGACGCGCAAATAAATATACAGCAGATCCGTTGGTTACTGAAATCAATCGGCATTTGGCCCAATTCACTCAAATCTTCTTCTTCAATAAAGAAATATGTGCGCGTGTTAATGAACGTAATTTATCTCGGTATGGTGGCTTTTCTCTTCATTCCGTGCGTCTTCTACGTCGTGCTCGAAGTCGAAGATATATACAATATCTTAAAGTTCACCGGACCATTGTCCTTTGGCCTGATGGTTACTATGAAGTACAGCTCGCTAGCCCTTCATGGGAGAGATGTCCGTATATGTATCGAGCACATCAAGACTGATTGGAGGAATACGTGGTATCATGGTGATCGCGTGATTATGACTCGAAACGCGCAATTCGGCCGTCGCCTTATAATAATCAACGCATTTATCGCGTATGGCGGTATTACGTTCTATCACATCGCCATGCCATTGAGCATGGGCAAGATCACAGAGAGAAATAGTAATCTGACGTACCAGCCACTGGTGTATCCAGTCGCAAGGATGATCGTCGACACACGTTATAGTCCAATTAATGAGATCTTCTTTTGGATTCAATTTGCATCGGGTGTCATTTCGCAAACTGTCGCGACCGCTGCCTGTAGTTTGACTGCCGTTTTGGCAGTACATGCTTACGGCCGTCTGGAAATTCTCATGCAGTGGATTTTGCATTTAGTGGACGGGAGAGAGGATTTTTCTAATAACGTGGACGAGAGGCTAGCCATAATTGTGCGACAACATGTGCGAATTTTGTAGTAAGTTCACTATTCAGGAAATAACAATCATCTTCTTCTATATTTGTTGCATATTCAAAATTTTCATTTTTATTTTTAATTTCCTATAATAACATTTGAAGAATATCGTGTTAAATTATTAATCATCTCATACTTTTCTTTTCGCTATAATACTATTATTATTATGTTTAGCAGCCTTTTTACACTCAGTCATCAGGTCAATTGTGGAAAAGAATGCAACACATGCAAATAATAATTTTGAGATTTACAGATTACATAATGAATCTGAAATAGACAATTCAATTTTAATTTCGTTATACATGATCTCTATGTTTACGAATATTCCTTTAAATCTTGCAATCAGTAGCATTAAAAAAAGGCATTTAATTACTTTAAAAACGAACCATTGAACGAATTTGTTGAAACTTTAAAATTTATTTTCTCTTCGATTTTCTTTACATTCAACAATAAAATTTACGAGCACCCTATAATTAAAATTCGGCACCCATGTGAGTTTCTCCTTATTTCTTGTCTGAACTTGTATTGCGAGATTTGAAAGAAAAGATTTTAAATTCTTTGAATTTTAATTCTATATTTTAACTCCAGATATGTAGATGACATTGTTTTGACCGCACCTAGTGATCAAGTTGATAACATATTGATCAATTTCAATAGCATCTACGAAAAAATTCAATTCACATTGGAAATCGAAAATAATAGATCTCTTAGTTTTTATCTCCTTCTTAAACGCGAAAATAAAATTATTATTAATTGGTACCACAAAAAAATTTTTTCAGACAGATATTTATTCTTCCTATCAAATCATCCCATTTCTCATAAAATTGACTCCATCTACAACGTTGTCGCCAGAGTAATCCTTTTCTTACACTATCTTTCGTCAAAAGAATTTTGAATTAGTGATCATTCTTTTAATGTAATAAAAATAATTGTTATATTTGACGTTGATTTTCAACTACATCAACAATAGAATCAAATAATAATACATAAATTCAATTACAATTTTTCACAAGATAATGACGATTTAATCTCGAACACTAAAAATAATAATGTCAAAAAACTTTTTCTGGTACCATATGTACCCAAAGTCTCTAACTCTGTCATTTCGTTTTTCAACAGGGCAATGTTCACGATTGGACATAGTTAATTAAATAAATTAAGCTCATTTATTAGAGTTCAAAAAAATAAATTAGACAAATTTCAGAATCGAAATGTCGTTTACAAGATCAATTGTGAGGATTGCTCTGCACCTTACGTGGGACAGACGAAGAAACGATTGAAGACGCGTATGCATGAGCACAAAAGTCAGATGGGACTCATCTGTAAATATTCTGTTACTGAACACATATTAAATCACAATCACAAATTTGATTGGAAAGATGTATCAATTTTAAATACAGGATTCAATTATAAAAACGGATGATCTCAGAGATGTATCAGAAAACAGGGAAATGACTCACACAAAGATACAGAGCATCTAGACATATCTTACAATAATTATTATCTATTAAAATACACGTCTAATGAAAATAAATAGGTTTCAATTTTGATCTCAGTCTATTAATGTTTATAACCAATCATTTTAACGTTTAACCAATTCAAACGTTTTTATTGTAATTGATCTCCTGGTTTATATGTAAATCTTAATCTTTACTGTTCCAATTAATCTTGTTTTAACATTTGACAATTAATTTAATAATGACATAATTCTATTTGACCTCCTTCATATAGATCTTAATTCCATTTCAATTACTTATTGATAACATTTTAATAATATTGTATCATTATTTTATATAAAACAATTTAGATAACATATCTGCATGTCAATTTTAGCAATGAATATTATCCAAAATAATTTCACCATTATGCACTCACATTATGAAACAAGAATTCAAGATTTAAGGAAATATCTTATCCGTTGCAACTATTTGAAATGTACCATCACAACGAATTATACGAAATGTCAATCTTTCGATATCGATCTTTTATTCAATTATTGCTGAAGAAGGATTTTGTTTTGAAACGTACAATTTTATATGTCATTACTTAATGTTCTTTGTTTAATAAATTTATGATATACAATTTCTAATCTCAATTGGTTCGATTATAGACCATTTTTTTATGGATTTACTATCATTATGATTGTAGCAATTTTTTAAAAACAAGAAAAGCTTATTTATTGATAACTCGCACAAAAATTATCATAAGAATTATATACTGCTTTCTTATTTGTAATTTCATGATTAATTGATTGTTATATTTCCAAGCATACGTGTATTATTTTGCAGTTTTATTAAGTTAACAGAAAAAGTATTACGCCAGATATCTCTTGTGGAAGTTGTAGGATGTACGTTGAACATATGTTTCACTGGATATTCCACAATTATGGTAGGCACATCGTACAAAATGTATGGTAAAATTCACTATTCTGCAATAATATTAGAATACGGTTGATGTATGCAAAATATGTTTCCGAAAATAAAATATATTAATTACAGGAATGGGATAACGACTTTGTAATATATATAACATACATTGTTCTGTTTATGAATTTCACCTTCAATCTTTTCGTATTTTGTTATATAGGTGAACTTGTTGCCGAGCAGGTACCATTTCGTACCGCCAAAAATTAAAATAAAAATTTTGTCTGCTACTAAAGCAAAATACATATGTATATATTTAATAAAATTAATCAATTTCTTCAGGCTCAAACGAAATAAATCAATGTTGAATTTATTAAATGTATTAATGTTGAATCATTCCAATGATTCAACATTGATACATTTAATAAATTAATAAATCAATCCTGTACGTAGAGCAAGAGAGTTAGTGAAATATCATACATGATCGATTGGCATCGTCTACCAGGAAGGAAAGCTCTGGCTGTTATACTAATGATTGCGATGTCCAATTCATCAGTTAAACTTACTGCTGGGAATATCATTGAGTTATCTATGATCAGTTTTGGTGATGTAAGTATTTATATAAATTAATTGTAAGTTTATAGAATAAATTTTTAATTGCATGACTTATAAATATTTATTAAACAGGTGATTAAGACATCGGTTGCCTATTTAAATATGTTACGTACACTTACTACTTAAAAATTTTTTATGGTATTAAATTATAATACTGATAATTGATATAAATTGTATTTGTTGCAAAATAAATAATAATATCAAACTAGCAATATATAATGTAGAAAAAGAAACAATAATTAGAACAAAACAATAAATTTATTAAAATAAAAAAATAAAAAATGTTGATAAATTATTTCTCATATACATATAAATTATATAATGTATTTTACATATTTTATATATTTATAATAAACATAAATGTTGGCCGAAATTTATTTAACAAAATCGCTCTTATTTTCTTATTTTTTTTTAATATTCTATTAATAATCATAATATTAATTTCCTATTAATATTTTAATTTGAAGCGATTTTAATAATTATTTGTATTTTGCTTATATTTCTCAAGAGTATATAAAGTAGAGTTTTTAGTAAAGATATTTAAAGCGAAAATTCAAGTAAAACATACGATGTGTCAGTAGGCAGAACAGATATATCTTTTATGTATGGAACTATATATTTCACAATTAATTAAAAATTAAACGTGTTTTCACGTAACGTGACTTATAACTGATACCACTTATTCGATCATTTCCTATCTTCCTGACATATATATTATTATATCTTTCTTACACATATTATATTGAACTTTATATGCAACAAGTTATACTGTAAATATCGATTGTGCACAGTCAGCCGACACAGCAATATACTTTCTCTCAGGAATATGTTCGCACACGTACTGCCGTAACTACTTGATTTGCTATGGGCAGTAGTAAAGACTACTGATTGACATACTCAGACTTATATCTGCACCGCAGATATAATATAATGCGTTCCTGTACCCAAAATAGATATTTACAGATAAAGTAATAATTTAGAGTCTTCAACTAAATTGTTGAATCTTAAAACCAGTAGATGTTTAGATATTGATGATCGAAATTTTGTCGAAAACTTTGAAATTAACGAATCACTCCTTGATAATTCTCACTGTGATACTCTCAATACGATACATTTTTCTCGAATAAAAGGATTCGTTTAAAAGCTATAGGTCGTGAAACCTACAAGTCACTGATTTAAGGACAATATACATTATTGCTCGTATTTTTATGTTAAAAGGATCAGATACGTAAATTTATTGAACATATGAAGATTGATTGGCGAAAGGAAGAGATCGCAAGAAGAAAACATTAAGACATGATGAGACATGCTAAAGAAAGACAGCAATCGTTTGAGAAGATTCTAAACCAACAGGAAATTACCGACAATTGCGGGTTGCCAATTTCTCCGAATTGAATTTATATCGCCAAATCCTTTTATACAATAAAAATACGCATAAAATAAACATCGTCCTCATTAAATGTGACGAAAAAAATCGAGGAAAAAATTAAAGGTTCAATTTATTTCAGCTCTCACAGCTGTCATCTCAGATAAAAATTTCCTTAATGCAGAAATTCTGTAGGTCGTACGTACCAAATGATATACCTTCCTCGGAAGCGTATGACATATATGAACAATCCTGAGTTTGCGAAATTGTGATCAGAGAACAAACAAAAAAGATTTTTCAAAATTGAAATCGTATTTTTTGTATAACAATATATATAATACAATATTATATAACATAATATATTATATATATAATATATTTTTATTAACTTTTTTCCTTTTTTACAGAAATTCGAAAATCCTTTTCCACAATTAAAATATACACATTAATACGTATATGTAAGATGGAATTTATTCCGAGAATGACAAAAAATTTCGAAATTGAAATCTTAAAAAAAATTTTTTATCGTTCTTGATATAAACTTCACTTCGCAGACACATATTAATGCGTATATACTTTAATCCTGAAAAAAGATTTTCGAATCTGTGAAAAAGAAAAAAATATTTGTTATACAAAAATTATATAGTTTAGTTGGTAATACAGACGACTTTAGGATTCTATTGAGGAGAAGTCACCAGAGATCGCTGTTTTTCCAACGCAACGATATGTCTTTATACAATAAAACTTATACAATAAAACTTTATACAATAAAACTTTTTGTATTAAGGAAGCATCTACGTCAGATGACAGCTCTACACATTGAAAAAAAATGTAAATTTTTAACTTCTTTTTCCGATTTTATTATAAAACTTATTACAGCACTTCCAAATTTTGCGTCTACTTTAATCCCTGTAAATGAATTTTTGATTCTGTTCAGTAAATTCGGAGATTTATATCTATTTGCGAAATCTCAATGATTTGACCACTCCAGCATCCCTTTAAGCGAAATAGCTTTCGTGGAAATTGGAAGCTATACGATAAACATATATTTGTGTGGATATTATGTTATGATGTTACGCATATTGTGTAACAAATACGTGTCGCAAAATGTATATTTTTTTTTAAATAAAATTATAAATTATTGCATTACAATCAAAATCTTTAGCAATATGTATAACGTGTTTTCATATATAAGAATGTTTTCGTTGAAGGAAAGATAAAACTAGTATTATATATTAATTTATATTTTTCTTGTTTTGTTCCTTATACAATGTCTATATATTGGGTGTGGGAAAAAGTTCGTGGCGTTTTTCCCGCATTAAATGTTCAGCAGTCGGCACTATTAATCGCATCGGCAACACTAGACGTGCGTTTAAAAAGTGACATTTTAATCTTTGTTTTGAGCCGAAAAAGATTGAAATCGGTGGATGAAAAGTTATTTTATTTTGAAAATGAAAATAAATAAGGAAAAAATTCGCTATATTTTGCAGTATCACTATGATAAAGGCAAGAATGCTGCACAGGCTTGTGAAAAAATTTACGCTGAAGATACTATTTACGATGAAGATACTCTATCAAAATCAGCAGTACGGAAATCGCTCGCTTTCGTGCTGGGAATTTCGATGTGAAAGATGAACCTCGCTCCAATCCAATTGGTCGTCGACCAATCACTGAAAGTCCGATGAAATCATGGTAAAAGTCAAGCGTGATAAGCACTGTGGAGATTGCTAGGGAACTAGGCATCGACCACAAAACAGTTTTAAATCATTTACACAAAGCTGGATACAAAAAGAAGCTCGATATTTGGGTTCCTCACGAGTTGAATGTTAGGAACATGATGGACCGAACATTTGTGATACGCTACTGAAACGGAATGAAATTGAGTCATTTCTGAAGAGAATGATAACTGGTAATAAAAAATGGATTACCTACGACAATCCAACTAGAAAAAGATCATGGATAAAGAAAGGAGAGAAGGCGCAAGCAATCGCAAAACCTGGATTGACGAGGAAGAAGGTGATGTTGTGTGTGTGGTGGGACTGGAAGGGAATCGTTCACTATGAGCTGTTATCGTCCAATCAAACAATTAATTCCGAACTCTATTGTGAACAACTGCAGAGATTACATCAAGCAATTGAGAGGAAGCGGCTAGAATTAATAGGAGAGATGTCGTCTTCCATCATGACAACGCTCGACCATTTTTGATGACAAAAATTGCGAGAACTTGGCTGGAAAGTTTTAATGCATCCGTATAACCCTGACATAGCACCCTCAGACTATCATTTATTTAGGTCTCTGCAGAACTCTCTTAATGATGTAAAGCTAGCTTCAAAAGAGGCCTGTGAAAATTGAAGCAGTTTTTCGATCAGAAACCACAGAAGTTCTATCGCGATGGAATTATGGCTCTGTCCCAAAAATGACAAAATATTATAGAAAATAATGAAGCATATTTGATTTAAATAAATTGATTTCAATACTCTAAGAAAAACACTTTAATTTTACTAAAAAATCGCCACGACTTTTTCCCATACCCAATATTTTGTTATATTGGTCAGTTCATTACTCAACAGGTTTTATCCTTACTTTGAAAGCATATCTACACTACCAACGTAAAATTTTATAAATTTCTTTATATTAAACATATTAATATTCTCATAATGGCTAAACATTACAAAATTTCAAATTTATCGGCACTTCAAAAATTAAGTTTTTTTTTTATGTGAGAGTAAATACGATTGACATAATGAGGAAACACAATCTCGCAGTGCAAAAAGATTGACAAAGTATCCTATATGAACGATTGGTATCGTCTATCGTCTATCTGCCAGAAAAAAAGGATATCTTGCTCTCATTCTGATAAATGCTATATCAAATTCGTTTATTCAACCGTTGTCAATATCAAATTGTCCATCAGTACTTTTGATAGAGTAAATGAAACATCATTAATTAAATTGATTCACGAATCATATGATTTATGCAATTTCCTAAATAGGTGATTTACACATAAATTGCTTATTTGAACATGTTACGTGTATTAACTATGTTGACACTCAAAATGTACAAATTATAGCTACATTTTTGTAACATATAATGAAAAATCTAGAACTAGTAATTTTTTAAATCAATTAATCATTTAGTATGATATTAAAGAAAGAAAAAGAATAAGAAATAAATACAGATTTAATAAATAAAAAGATGGTGCATGAACATTTGACACATATTCTAAAATGTGATACTTCTTATTTTTGTAACTTTTTTCTCACACTATTTACAATTAAATTCTCTAAATGGATTTCAAAGTATCATTTTATTTTAAAATATTGATTCATTTAATACGTATGTATTCATGTAATTATATAATTTTATATATATGTATATGTATATATAATCTAGTACATATGCAATATTTTTACTTCAAACAAAAATTTATGAAAGAAGAATGAAAATCATGATCCTTACTTTCGCAAAACATACTCGTGGAAGAAGATATGTCTTACGGGAAATTAAAAATAAAAATGTAATGAAAATTTTGAATATGCAATATGTATAAAAGAAGATAATTGTTATTTCCTGAATAGCGGATTTACAATTAGTAAAATTCGCACATGTTCTTGCATAATTATGGCCAGCCGCTCCACGTTATTAGAAAAATTTTCTCTCCCGTCCACTAAATGTACAATCCACTGCATGAGAACACATAATTCACGAAATAGTAACAAATATATCATACAAGGAAGAAGAAGAAAAAATTTCCTACGCTTCATTGTCAATATGACTATAAAATGCACCCTTTAACTTCATGACGTGATTGATCGCTTTTTCCTAGGAAGTTGAGCGCGCAAGCGCTTAACGTGACTACGTGTCCTCGACTTTCAGTTTCCTTTCAGTACTACCTGAGCTTCCGTGCTTTAACGATGCAAAAATCATCCTTTACTCAGAAATCAAATCTGGTAGTGACCGGATATGATCATGAGAAATACGCGCAGATAAGTATTAAGCAGATCCGTTGGTTACTGAAGTCACTTGGCATTTGGCCCAATTCACTCAAATCCTCTTCTTCGATAAAGAAATATGTGCGCGTATTAATGAACATGATTTATCTCGGTATAATGGCTTTTCTCTTCATTCCGTGCGTCTTCTATGTCGTGCTCGAAGTCCAAGATACATACAATACCTTAAAGTTCGCCGGACCATTATCCTTTGGCCTAATGGTTATCATGAAATACTGCTCGCTAGCCCTTCATGGGAGAGATATTTGTGTATGTATCGAGCATATCAAAATCGATTGGAGGAATACGTGGTATCACGACGATCGCGCGATTATGACTAAAAACGCAAAATTCAGCCGTTGTCTTGTAATGATCAACGCGTTCTTAACGTACAGCGGTGCCATATTCTATCTTATCGCCATGCCGATTGGCATGGGCAAGATTACAGACAAAAATAGTAATCTGACGTACCAGCCACTGGTGTATCCGGTCGCTAGGATTATCGTTGATACGCGTCACAGTCCAATTAATGAGATTTTCTTTTGGACTCAATTCGCATCAGGTATCATTTCGCAAACCGTCGCGGCCGCTGCTTGTAGTTTGACTGCCGTTTTGGCAGTACACGCTTACAGTCGTCTGGAAGTTCTCATGCAATGGATTGTGCATTTAGTGGACGGGAGAGAGGACTTTTCTAATAATGTGGACGATAGGCTGGCCATAATTATGCAAGAACATGTGCGAATTTTGTAGTAAGTCCGCTATTCAAGAAATAAGAATTATCTTCTTTTACATGTGTTGCATATTCAAAATTCTCATTCCATTTTAATTTTTAATTTCCCGTAATAACATTTGAAGAATATTGTGTTAAACTATTATTCATCTCATTTGTTTTTCGCTAGAACACTATCATTACGATTGTAATATTTTTTTAGAAACAAGAAAAGTTTATTGATAAAATCATTCGCACAAAAATGATCGCATAAAAATTATACTGTTTTCTTATTTGTAATTTTCTGATTAATTGATTATTGTATTTCCAACCACATGTATTATTTTGCAGTTTTATAAAATTAACAGAAAAAGTATTGCACCAGATATCTCTTGTGGAAGTTGTAGGATGTACATTTAACATATGTTTCCTTGGATATTACACAATTATGGTAGGCACATGGTGCAAAATATGTGGCAAAACTCACTCTTCTGCAATAATATTAGAATACCGATGATGTATGCAAAAAATATGTTTCCGAAAATAGAAAATTTTAATTGCAGGAATGGGAAGGCGGCTTTGCAATAACATATATTATTCTGCTTATGAATTTCGTCTTCAATCTTTTCGTATTTTGTTATATAGGTGAACTTGTTGCCGAGCAGGTACGATTTCGTACCTCCAAAAATTAAAACAAAAGTTTTTCTGCTTCTAACGCAAAATACATATGTATAATACATTTAATAAAATTAATCAATTTCTTCAGGCTCAAACGAAATAAATCAATGTTGAATCATTGGCATGATTCAACATTGATACATTTAATAAATTAATAAATCAATCCTGTACATAGTGCAAGAGTGTTAGTGAAACATCATACATGATCAATTGGCATCGTCTACCAGGAAGGAAAGCTCTGGCTATTGTACTAATGATTGCGATGTCCAATTCATCAATTAAACTTACTGCTGGGAATATCATTGAGTTATCTATGAGCAGTTTCGGTGATGTAAGTATTTATATAAATTAAATATAAGTTTTATCGAATAAATTTTTAATTGCATGACTTATAAACATTTATTAAACAGGTGATGAAGACATCAGTTGCCTATTTAAATATGTTGCGTACACTAACTACTTAAAAATTTTTCATGGTGTTAATTTATAATACTGATGATTGATAAATTATATTGCAAAATGAATAATAATATCAAATTAGCAATACAATAATTTAGAAAAAAACAATAATTACAACAAAACAATAAATCCATTAAAATAAAAAATAATTTTAAATGTTGATAAATTATTTCTGATATAAAGAATAAAATGTATTTCACATTTATATTTTATATATTATATATTTATATTAAACATAAATGTTAGCTAAAATTCACTTAACAAAATCCCTCTTATTTTCTTATTTTTTTTTATTTTTAATATCTTAATAATCTTAATATTAATATTAATTTTCTATTAATATCTTAATTTGTAATTATTTGTATTTTACTTATATTGTCTCAAGAGTACATCAGATAAAATAAAGTTTTTAGTAGAGATATTTAAAACAAAAATTCAAGTAAAGCGATGTGTAGAACAAAGTACAGCTTCTAATGTATGGAATTATATTTCACAAATTAAAAATTCAATGTGTTTTTATGTGATTTATACTGACACCATTTATTCAGTCATTTCCTATCTTTCTTACACATTATATTGAACTTTATATGCAACAAGTTATACTGTAAATATCGATTGTGCACGGTTAGCTGACACAGCAACATACCTTCTCTCAGGAATAAGTCATATATTCGCACACATGCTGCCATAACTACTTGCCATAGGCAGTGATAAAGATTAGTGATTGCGTTCACCGCGGATAAAGTACAATGCGTTCTTTCAGTACCCATTCATAGGTAAAGTATAATGCGTTCTTTCGGTACCCGGTTCACGTTTACAGGTGAAATAATAATTTATAATCTTCAACTAAATTGTTCTATCTTGAAACTAGTAGATATTTAGAGTTTGATCGAAAAGATTTTATCAAAAAAAATTAACGAGTCTCTAAAATTAACGAGTCGCTCTTTGATAATTCTCACAATAATATTCTCTATATGGTACATTCTTCTCGAACAGAAAGATGTCCATTTAAAACTGTAGGCTATGGAATCTATAAATCACCGGGTTATTAAGGTGATATAAATTGTTGCTCGTATTTATGTTAAAAGGGTCAGATATAAATTTATTGAACATATGGAGATTGATTAGCAAAAGGAAAAGATCGTGAGGAAAGAGCATTAAGACATAATGAGACACGCTAGAGGAAGACGCATTATAGCAAGTATTTAAGGGGAGCCTAAAGCGAAGCTCGAACTTCGACAAGTCATCAGAGATCGATTTTTCTAGCCCATCGACATGTCTTTATATATCACACCAAATTTCACGTAACCTATGATACACGCAGTCGCACTTTTGCATCAATTTTCATGTAACATATTCATCGCGATAAAGCATCTAAGTTTAGTAGTAATTCTAAGAACTTGACGTTATTTGTTCGTGCAAATTACGTGTTTGTGAATTTTGTAAGTACAAGATTGCAAAATTTTCGTATCAAATAAATGTTGTTATGACTTGACTGCTTGAGATGCCATGTTACACTAAAAAATGGTAAAAAATATATCAATTTCGAAATTTTTGATCGTTCTCAGCATACAACTCATCTCCACTTTATGAACACATATGCGTATCCTTTAATCCTGGGCAAGTATTTTCTGTGAAAGAGAAAGAGACTATATTATATAAAAATTATATGATTTAGTCGATACAGATGGCTTTCTTATGTATTTATCATGCAAGGTGGTATTTTTTTGTTACAATGTAACAAGAGAAATATCACCGATACGTGGTAATCGGCAATGAAACGTAATAAGTCATTTAGTCTATTCTTCAATGATCGTGGACACAAAGGACTCCGCATGTTTCTTATGAATTTTGGTTCTTGGTCAAATCTTCTCATATTTTAGGAAATTGTAGTTCCAGGTGTCCTGAATTAAAAATCATTTTTAGTCACAACTGAGATTGCGAAGCGAAATGCAATTATGACAGCCTTATTTCGCATGTTATAAGATTCATCTAGGTATTTTTTTAAGCTGTAGGATCAAAATTGTTTATAGTGTCCTATATCCGAAATAATAGAATTAACAAAGTTTGAACAGTTATATCTCGAAAACTGTTAATTTTAGGAGATGCGCCCATTGACACTTTAATCAGGACACCTGGAGGAATTACAATATCCCAAAATATAAGAAGATTTAACCGAGAATAAAAATCCATAAGAAATGTGCAGTCTTTTAACCTCAGTATATGTAATCCTGTTTATGCTTCAGTGTTTACACTGTAGCCTTTCGTCTCTCATCATGAACACCATAGATGCGTACGGTTTGATCATATTTTCGCGATACACGCACGCAACTTAGTAATGTTGCGGCTTATAGAACTGGTTAAGAATTTAAGAAACAAGAAAAAATGTCAGAGAAACCTGGCAAATTTGAGCGTTCTCTGCAAACATTAAGGCAAGATTAAAGTATGATTTATTATTATAAACACCACTTTTAAACATTGCACTACTTTTAAACATTTCTAAGGAAATTATCGAATATGTAAATAATTATTAACTTGAATTTATTTAAAATTAGTATATTATAAATTAGTATAATATTAGTATATTATAAAGTTTAAATTAAAACTTTAACCATGTAAAGCATGATATGAGTAAATATACATAATAAATATTTTACATAAAATTATTATACTTTGTATTATACACATAAAAGTTATGTATAATGTGCATTTTAATAATAGATTTTTGTAATATTACTTAGCAATCTTTTCATTTGTATGTTTTATGGATTTTTAATTAGTATTTAAAAAATATGTGATAGAAAAAATTAATTTTATGAATTTTACAAGTATAATGCAAGTTAAATAATTCATGATTCTATACGCTCACTTACGAAGCAAAATGTGTACTGCACACGTCACAATTTGCATATTATCTACATATCCTTACTTGCAACTGACGGTGCAACAAGTAGCGGTTATCGATTAGCACAATAGTCCGCCTCTTGCACGTAACTCTGAATGAAGACCTGCGCAATCGTAACTTCTATTGAGAAACGGGATAATACGGAGAAAATGGTTAGTATTTTGCGCGCTTTCAAAGAATGATCATGACGATCGCATCTGATAAACCAACATCGGTTTTGTATCGCCATAATGAACATCACGATTATAGTCTTCAATTGAATCGTTGGTTTCTAAAACCAATTGGCGCCTGGCCAGAATCGCGTGTTACCACAATTAGCGAAAGACTCCTATTGAAAATTATCCAAATAATATGCTACGCCCTCATAGCTTTCACGGTTATTCCTAGCATGATGTACTTCTATCTTGAGGAACAGGATCTTGATACTAAGATGAGATTAGTAGGTCCTGTAAGCCACTGGGTTATGAGCTCATTAAATTATAGTTCTCTGCTGTGGCGCGGCAAAGACATACGTTGCTGCATTCAGCACATGGAGAATGATTGGTGCATCGTGCACAGAAATGTGGATCGCGGAGCGATGCTAAGATATGCCAAATTTGGCCGATCTATGGCCGCATTTTGCGCAGTTTTTCTGCACTGCGGTGTGTTCTCGTACAGTGTAGTGAACAGTTTAACGCCGATAATCATCGTAGTCGGCAATGAGACTGTCTCGACGCGACGATTGCCTTGTCCGTTTTACAGCAAATTACTAGATATCAGCCATGATCCGACGAATGAGATCGTGTTAATGATACAATTCCTGTCAGGTTTCATAGCTAATTCTGTCACGGTCAGTGCTTGCAGTCTTGCTGGGGTTTTCGCAATGCATGTATGCGGCCAATTCGCCGTGCTCTACACGTGGTTGAATGAATTGACAAACGAGGAAAAACGAACCACCAAGAATAAATTGGCAAACATAGTCGAGCATCATCTACGTGTACTAAAGTAAGGTATCGCTAATCCAATTATAATATTTGTAACAATTACAATATCAAATATAAATAAATCTTAAAATTTGAGAAAATTATGGTATTTTAGTTTTATATCACTCTTTGAAAAAATCATGAATCAAATATGCATGGTGCAATTAGTTGGATGCACCATGAATTTGTGCTTGCTTGGTTACTGTTCGATTAAGGTATAATAAAAATATAATTAATAAACATTTTTTTTAATACAAATGCATATATCTTTTTAAAGACGTACTCTTTTTTTTAGAAAAATATTTTTGTTTCTTTTTATGATATTTTGTTTTATAATTTCAGGAATGGGATGAAAAAAACACGAAAACTATAACAACATATGGCATTCTTTTCGTATCTATGTCTTTTAATATCTTTATATTTTGTTATATCGGTGAAATAATCACGGAGCAGGTAACGCGTGCAAGTGAACCACAAAACTGCTTGTGTTTTGGAATATAGTAAAAATATTTAAAATATTACTGATTCATTATTCTGCACAAAAATAGTCTCGTTGTATTTAGTATAAAATTACTGCAGTGTAGAAAAGTTGGTGAAATGGCTTACTTTATCAACTGGTACTATTTACCTCATAAAACAGCCCTCGATATAATGCTGATAATATCGAGATCCCATGTTATAATTAAAATTACTGCTGGAAAATTGATTCATCTCTCATTAATGACATTTGGTGATGTAAGTATAGATTTCTGAACATCAAACATTTTTATGATAAAAAATGAGGCTCTGTTATCTTCAATACCTATCCTTCATCGTGTTTTTACATAGCACGTATTATAAATATTTATAAATTTTTTGTTTTATAAAAAAATTTAACGTAACAAAAAAAGAAAGATAATATTGGAAAAAATCTCTCATAAAATTTAATTTATTTTATTTGTTGTTTCTTTCTAGATAATTAAAACTTCTGTAGCATATCTAAATATACTTCGTACCGTAATGTAATATATATATATGTGAAAATACTAAATAGGTGTCACTTAAATAGATATGCAATAGGAGACTATTCTTATATTCTATTATAATTCGAAGCTTTGAGCAATGCCACTTTTCTTATCAATAATAATGTAATCTTTAT